AAAGAGTCCCACTTCTCAGACGTCGTCGCACTTCCATAGACGAGAGACCAGTCGGCGTTTACAAGCAAATCATTGAAATAATCAAAATCAACTCGATTCAGGCAGCGGGATGTGATGATATTGGTTTGGCGTTTCCTCTTTCGATACTTTCAGCAATATTCGCGTGAAGTCATGCGGACTGTAGTGACAGGCGGTGACACCACAGCGTTGGATGAGGGTCCTTGTGATTTGTGATCGTACCATCTATCAGCGAGCCAGCAGGACGGTACGTTGGATAGGAATCGTTACACATATGCAGATTGCAAGACCGTAGCAGTTGCATCCATTCTGATAGCCAGCGCCTGTGCTCGAGCCAATCAGGTTGATGTTTAAATCACCGGCGATCACTGTTAGGCAGTCATGTGTGGACATTATACATTGTAACTGGTTCTCCAAATCATCGAGATCATCAGACACCTGCCGGGCTGTGTCAGTGAGATGTCGGTACAATGACCCGAAAATAATCTGTTTTGCTTTAGCGGGTCGAACAAGGGTCCAAATAATCTCAAGATTCGATGAACCAACGGCAGTATGAGGCGTTTTCAGAACAGTTACATCAAACGAGTCTCGCGCCAGAACGCGACCCCCTCCGCAACCTCTAGGCGGTCGCTGTCTCTGCAGGCGGTCGTGTCGGTACAGCCGGTACCGATCAATGTTCAGCAGCCGGGCGGGGGACAGATGGCCGCAGCCACGTTCACTGAGTGGCTGCGAATATCAAACTGATGCATATCAGCTACGACTGGGACCGCTAGATCTGCAGTTGGGCTTCAAACTTTGCATGTTTAACTGCGCGATTGTATAGTTCACCCGCACGGCACTTCGCCGGGCAGCCCCGCCACCTCACCCCTTTCCCCAATTAGCCCCCCGGCGCCGCTGCGATCGCTCGGCCCCGGCGCGCGGGCGGCTGAGTCCTGAGTGTACTCTGGATGGTCGCGGGCCGGTACTCACCTGAGTCGGGCCGCCCTGAGTCAGGGCCCCGCGACCACCAGAGGGCCGGCCCGCGCTCACGCCCGCACCCAAGCCGGCCAAGACAATTCTGGGCTCGCCCCTGGCCGCCGCGGTGACCTGGCGCGGTCCGCACTCAACAGCTGACCCCGCATGGCCCGAGGGCACGCGCCGAGCCGGGAGCCAGGGATTTGGGGCCGGCACGGTGGCCCGCACGATAACCTGGGCGACCGCCAAGGTCACGAACAGGCGGAGCACCTGGCGATTCATTGCAACGCAGGCTTGCCGCTAGCTTGCTAGCTTGTCCGCTCCAGAACTGGAGCGGAGATGGTTGTAGTCGCGTTGTATATAGGCTCAGAAGCCGCCGGTAGTTGTCGCCTCGAGCCCGTCGCTGCACACCGGCAGACAGGTGGTCCCTTCTCGGTAGTCACAGTAGTCACGGTAGTAGGTCGCGATTCACGTGATCAGCGAAATGATCCCTTCACCTTCCCACTCGCGCACAGTCACTCTCACTCTCACACTGCCACTAAAACTGTTTACGAAACATGGTAACCGATCAGCTAAAAGGCCACTGGGTCGCGAGGTGGGGAGAGACCACCGCGCGTCCGCCACCAGCGCCGCGCTCAGTGGAACTGAGCGAACTGAGCTAAGAGTGTTTTGCGTTCACAGTGACTAAGAAGTGGATTAATGAGAAAAGCGAGGGAGTGTTCCTGAGCGAACTTTGCTCGATGACTTGTGTGTTTGAGGCTCAATCGTTGTCGTCTCACTGTGTAAGCACCAGGCTGTGTTTCTCTAGTGCTGTGTCTAAGCCATGCAGCAATGGCTGTCGCTTCACACCAAGCTGTGATGCACATTTGCTGGCCATTATAACCTTTATTTGTGGGGTCATACCGGGGAAATGAGTATGGAGTGGGATGTTTCGAACAAAATATGGGAGCCCAAACTTAAGAAATATAGCTATTGGACGTCCAGATAAATACCTACTCACCGAGCAATGCATTTATGAATGCGTTTTCATTAAAAAATGATAAATAAAATATTTATTTCGTTTATTCAATCTCATCACTTGTCCGTTTTGCTCCGAATACTGCTTCGTTTTGCTCCAAGCCAGGGGCAAAATGAGAAAAAAAACATTGCCTGATATTTAGGATCACACTTTAACGTGAAGAGATATCAAACCAGCGCTTTTGTAAGATATGGACAATTGATCAGACTTCAATATCCACCTGCTAAAGACTTTCTGGACAGACTTATGAACTTCCCATATTAAAAAACCGTTAAGGTGTCCGCCTTGTCCGTTCTCCCCTACGTCAAGGGTCAACAAAAATACAAAAACCAGAAAAATAGGGTCGCGGGCAAACCCAGGGTCCCAGCCTATGGCACTGATCAGCATGATACCTTTGCCAATCGGTAGGGCATGTAAGGACAGTGTATCTACTATGGCAGTTGTGAAAAAGCTTTTGATATACCGGATATGATCGGTGACAAAAGCTGACACTTTTGTGAACCAATGAGTGACAAAATTGCGAAAATGCAAACCAATCTCAATAGACCAGACCACATTGCAACTTACCATCCCAGCCAAACAAAACCTATGGCTTTGTATTGGTCTGTGCTCGGTAACACTTGCAGCGTGGGCATGTGTAGAATGCATGTCGAAAGGTTGACGTTTCGCTGCATGAGTAAATTAAGTCGCAGTATGCTGCCAAGCATAGTAGCTCTAATCAGGATAGTTCTTAGTAGGCGCCGGAAATAAACTACAAACTATACTATATCAGTGTTGACGTCTCAGATCAGCGGTGACCCAGTGCTTTTCCAATGCTCCTGTATCAGTGCTTTTCACAGATTTTTCAGCCAAGATTCACTTTACATACTAAACAGAATAAAATGCCAAATAACTGGGCTTATAACTAGTCGTAAGGATCATAGCTGGCCGCAGCATCCTCCGACGAACGTGATAAGTTTGCTATGCAGCGTTTCAAAGTGTCGTGCCATTTGAAACAGATGGGCTCGAAGGCTCGCCGCGCGGTGATGCGTTAGATTCAATGCAAGGTTGTGGGCTGCTGTTAGTTGTGTTCATGGCGTGGGAAGTCGATTGAGCCATAAGAATATAGCTAATCGTCATTTTTATGCAATAGCGTTAAAAGCCGTGCCGATCTAGGATTGTTGCTTGTGAGTATCTGAGCTGTAGCTCCAGAGTAAACGGAGTACGTTGGAGCAGCACATGGCACAAGATTCATCCGGGCTTTCTGCTGGCTGAGTAACAGCGGCTTTGAGGTAAGAACGAAACATCACTGTTGTAGTCCCTCATTGCCCGTTGCACCTCTGGCTTAGCGGACTCATCGGTGACAGTCGTGAGATAAAACCGCTTTTATTTCATACGGTTGCATATGAATCTGAACAAAGGTGGTAGAGGTGTTCAAATAGCGTTTGCATCTGTTGATACCAAAATTGCACGGATTTTTTTTTCTAAATGAATGGGATCATAGTGGCAAGTGTGAGGTCTACACCGGTAGATGATTAACGAAGATTGAAGGTCGCCCAGGGCTACAGAGATGCAGTTTTGCAAATACGTAGGGTTGATGGATCAAAGGTGGGAGGGAAGAAAAAAGGAATGAGTCTGCCCCACAAAATGCACTCATAACAGTTTACTCCACAGATTTGACGCACTTCCTTTTCACAGTTGGGAGCAGGAGTGTAGTGTCTTAAAATTAGTTTGTGGGACTAAACCCTACAAAATGTGGTTAATGAAGAATAGCGCTTAAAAATGATGACTAAAAATGGGGAACTACATCTATGGTTAGGAACCACAATCCCCTTCCCTTATTTGAATAGGAAATCACACGTCTTCAGGCTGGTTATGTTAAGTATGCCTTTATCTGATACTTTATCAATTAAGCCTCAACCATTTTCAATGCTTGATGGCCAGCAAATGATATTGAGTGCAAATGAAATCGCGATAAAAGTTTCGTGGTTACGACGCATCACATTAAATTTGTCTTCGTTTTGTGCTTAATTGCATTTAGAGTTCATGGCAACGGTTTCTGGAAGATTCGGCTGCAGGTGACAATTTAGAAGGTTCCAAATTTCATCTGTGACAGAAAAGGCACCTTTTTCACACTTGGTCTATGGTGCATCGATTCGTGACGGTTTGTTTCCGATTGGTATATAGAATCGTAACATGGGGTTGTCCTCAACCAATTTCAGAGGGTTTCGGCCGATTTTGACTTTTGACGTGTACCAAGGTCACCATATTCTGGAAAAAATAGGATATCGACTATGGCGCATCGATTGGTTGAAAGTTTCATGCTGATCGATGCCATAGGCCCGAAGCATGGGTTGCCTGGAACCCTATTTTTCCTGTTTTTGGTATTTTTGGTGACTTTTTTTGGTGACCTGAATCAAGGTTGTCATGTTCTGGATAGAATTAAATATCGACTATGGCGCATCGATTGGTGAAGGTTTCGTGCTGATCAGTGCCATAGGCTCGGAGCACGGGGCCGTCTGCAGCCAATTTTGGTAGTTTTGGGTATTCCTGGTGACCTTCAACCTGTACTTGACCTTTTGGTGACTTTCAACCATGTATCCAAGGTCAACATGTTCCGGAAAGTCCAGGATATTAACTATGACACAGCAATTGATGAAGATTTCATTCTGATCGGCGTCATAGGCTCGGTGCGTTGTGTTGTCTGCGGCCCTATTTTTACGGTGTTTGTATTTTGGGGACCTTTATCCTGATTCAAGCTCACCATGTTATGGAAAGGATAGGTTATCAACCAAGCGGCACCGAATAGTAAAGATTCCATGTCGATCAGTGTCATAGGTTTGGAGCAGCGGTATGTCAACAGGTTTGGTCAGCAGTTTAGTCCTTTCCTATTAAAGACTTTGGGCGCAACCGTACGTACATAAACAGTTACCATGGCAACGAGTTAATCTGCGCCACCGTTGTTGTCTGTGTGTGTGTTTTTGGTGTTTCGTGTTCGATGCTTGGGGAAGTGGGTTGATTTTGTGTTTCGTGGCATTTCGGCACTTCCCTACTTTTTAAGAAACATGGGAGGAGGGTTGAAAATTCACGTCATTTACTGGTAAGTCATGCTGATTGTTTGTCATTCACGGTTAAAGGCGATTTATCAGACATTGGTTGGGCTGGCGCATGCCTAGCATCCTAAAATTGCGGTAGGTGCCGTCCATATATTACGTTAATGAAAATGTCAAAAATGTTCATGAAAATCATGATACGCAAACTGGGTTTAAGTGTTTAAAGATGTTTAAATCCCAAAGTGCCCACCCATATTTTATGGAACGTATAAAAAGCTGTTTATGGAGCGTCGGGGGGTGTAGCAAAAGCGTGACAATGGGAGTGTGTGTATGGGGGTGGGGGGGGGGGGATGGGGGCGGGCACCGTAACGCTGCCCTCAGTTGTTTCCGACAATTCTGTTCAAATATTTTGAAACGTTTTAAAACGTTAAAGACTTACCGTTGACTTCCAGTTATGACAAGTGGCACGTCTGTCTGTTTCGTATATCTAGCCCACTTAGAGGCCGAACGGACGTTACCTTTTTGGGACGTTATGCTTACGCTTGCTACAGCGTTACCAGTTGGCTGGGTAGTAGGTTTCCCCTAACGTAACTAGCACGTGTCCAAAAGGGAGAGATTGCAAGTTTACAGCAAGTGCATGAAGGGGGAATAGTTGAGACTCAGTCACACCTGCCTCCCCCCCCCCCCCCCCAATTCCTGCGTTATTGCCATTGCGTAACCAGGAGCAAGGGTAATGGAATTTGGCAAAAACATGCTTACGTAGTTAATGGAAGTATGTCATGGTTTCGAATTCATCTCGTCATTCATGTTATTGTCGCGTTGCAGTGGCGCATGAGGGTACGCTTCGAGGTTCCGCGACGTCAAAGCGGAACTAGAGAAGACGTTCCCTAGGGAGTTGGACATCGTAAGTGTTGCCGCTGGCCATAGCGGTGTATGCCAAATTTTGCAATAAGGAGGAAGTGCACAACTCCCAGTCGTACATCCAGAAACACATTTTAGCGCGGCACAGGCGCGTGAGTTTCCTGCCATCGCGTATCCAAAGCAAACAGACGTATTTCATACACTTCTTAGGGTGTCTGCCTCGACTTGTGATTTGATTGAGTTCGTAAGTGCATAACCATGCACGCAAACATTTGATGGCGGAGTGACGGATTAGGGCATGTGCCCCCCGTGCTCTCCATGAATACGCCCCGGACTGAGCATCTTGGGGCATATTAGCCGGGGGCTAGGTGACGGCAAAGAGCAAATGACACAGACAAGTCTGCTGAGCGTGGTGCCCGCCACTCGGGTTAGAAGGGGGAGGGGAGCGTAATTACAAGTACCGCCCAACCAGATAGCTGCTGAGCAACACACCCATGAAGCAAGGTCATTCAGGCATGTACGACGCCATAGAAACGCCATTAAAAGCCTGCCAACCCATTGGCCAGGCGGGTTCAGGGCCGAGAAGCATAAAAGTACCTGAAAAGTGCCTGTTGTAATATGGGTGTCCGAAACTTGGGTCCGCTAGAGTTTGCGGTCGGGGTCGGACGTGCGCGAGGTCGCTCCGCCGCGGAGTATTCTTCCGTCTTTGGTTCAAACGGTAGTGGCGGAAATGTGTACGGCATGGTATTCGGCGGCGGAGCGACCTCGCGCACGTCCGACCCCCCGCTACCTCCAGCGGACTCAAGCTTCCGACACTTATATCATGTAGGTTTCAGACGCTTATATTCTTCTTGGTATTGAATGCCGCCTGGCTTATGGAGTGGCAGGATTTTAATGACGTTCCTATGGCGTCATGCATGCCTGAATGACCTTGCTCCGTGGGCATGTAACTTGGCATCTAGAGGGTGTAAGGTCTGAAGAATGGCAAAGCCGTGAATTGCACTGAATAATGTTTAAAATGCCTATTTCGGTCCAAAATCCCGTACAGGTTTTTGTTACACACAACACTCCATGTAAGGGATGTCGGTCTTGTGATAATCTGTGTCTAGAAAGTAAGATCCGGACATTCCTGGCGGAATATATGTGCGTGCTGGGACCCGTCATAAGTCTTAAATGTCATGCTCAGATTGTGTACATGTAGCACGGCTTTAAGTGTAACAAACAGCCTTCATGACCATGGTCTGCGTAAATACAGTCATTGAATGCTCAGAATGATTGTAGAATAGCCTAAATGCAATGCAGGTTGATATGTTTGATAGTTCTCGGTGAAAATACAGATTATTTATTTTATTTGAGTTAACGCAACTGGATTCCATGGAAGTATTTTGAAATATGGAACAAATTTGTTCGATCAAAGCCCATTTTCTTCCCCTACAGCCGGCTGTGACGTGAAAGGCTTTGGTTGACCCTTTAAATGGTCTGAGTGAGATGCAATTGATGACGTCCGTGCTCCCGTAAGCCATGTCACGTGAGCAGAGTTCATGACTTTTTGGAGCAGTTTTGTCGTACACAGCTCCCAGTTCAGCGTCTAACGCGATTAGCTGTATATATAGCGGCGTCACCCGCGCTCACGTGCGCCAATATAACCGCCATTTTAGCGCACATGAAATGGTCCGTGAATTGGTGTCACCACCGCATTGTAACGCGAACTCGACCTGCACTTTCCTCAGACCTGCGAAGGAACTGTCAACGTCACCGGCTACTTCGAGGTCCAGATCGTCGGCGGCAGACTGCTGCACTCCAAAAAGGTTCGCCGTTCACTTCTTGGGGCAAAGGTCAACATGAAGCAGCTTGCGGAGGGATAAATTATTTTAGTGGGCAGTCTGACATTACTCTAATGTTATGCACTATTGCGCTTCTGATTTGACACGTTTAGTTTGACCTTCGCCAGCTGGATATGCTTCCCCATCTTCCCCCGTGGTGGATACGAGATACCACTCTCCCGAAAGTACAATGCCACACAGACGGCAGCCATGCACGTGGTCTACAACTTGCACAGACTCATGTCAAACTGTCTGCTACGGTTCGCTGTGGCGTCCGATCAAAGGACGGCGAGTAATGTCTCTGCCGTCCGCGAAACTCTTTCATGGGTCCGCTTGGCAAAGCCAATGGTTCAGGCTTCAGGCCTAAGCAAGATCCATGTTGCGGTGCTTATCGCCGTCATCTGAGCTCTGACCACGGCCATCGTCGTTTTGTTCACCTTCAGTTATGAGTGAGTTGGTGCGTCGTAAGAGTACGCCAACATAACCCTTGCGATCTTCTAAATTGCTCCGTGTTTATATACAACGTACTGCTGTATCTATACAGCAGTAATAAACACACACACACACACAACACACACCACACACACCACACACACACACAACACACACACAAACACACCACACACACACACACACACACACACACACACAACACAACACACACACACACACACACCACACACACACACACACACACACACACATGCACGCACGCACGCACGCACGCACGCACGCACGCACGATATATATAATGGGTAAATCTGATATTACCTCGACATCGGGCGGATGTAAATGACACTTGGTACGGATGTGACGTACGTTACAGGCCACGTGACAAGGGTCGTGAGATGTTCAGGATGCGTTTCGAGAGCTTAGAAGTCTCGGGGGTCTCTGGGGCACTAGCGTGGTTAGAAGGTTGGTGATCGCCGCACTCCGAAATGGATTTTAAAAAGCTTATGGGATCTCTATGGTAGCTGAATGCTGCCAGCCCGGCCCTCGCACGCTGGTGACACGGGCACCGCCACCCCCAGAATGGCGACGGCTACGTGGACACGCCAGAGAGAAGATGAACACATAGTGCAGGGCATAAAGGACGCGCTGGCCGCCTGCTGAGCTGGCTGGCAGGAGCTGAGCCCGGACCGCGTGCTGAGCTGCCGGCGGCGGGCTCAGCCAGCCTCCTCCCGCACGGTGAGCGCTGCTCCAGCAGCGGCTGTCGGGCCCAGTGCCTTCCAAGTCCGCTGCATGTGGACTTGGCCTGCCGCGGTGAGTCGTCCGCGCGGAGTCGCATGCGTGTTATTTTCTCACGATGTAGCATGCTTCGTTTGTCTGTGCACATATATTAACTGGTACGAGTGACAACATGATATCTAGGCTTCTCCATCAGTTTTCCATCTCATGCCCGTATAGATAGCGGTCGCATCCACATTCGCATTCAACGTCGTGTTTCGATTTCATTCAGACGTTATTCTTTTGGTCAGGCCTCACCAAATTTACAAAATGAGATGTGTTCTGCTTTAGGTTAGTTCATTATTTAAAATCAAGTTCTGACGACGACAGGAGCTTAAATGACACTAAACGGGCATCTTCAGCGTCAAGTTGTAGTTTCGTGGCCTATACTTATGGTTGCCAAGATCACCATAACTCGAGGTGTCCCTACAAGGGTTTCCATCCTTTCCTTCCTTTTTTAAATTTATCCGAATGGTTTGTATGGGCGATTCGGATTCAGAGTAAAGGTTAAAGGAAGAGTAATTTGATGCCGACCAAATTTATTACATCCAACTGGGCGGCGATCAAATGACCTTAGATATCCTAACATTTGGGTCGCGTCCATGGTTTGGTCGTTATGCGTAGAAAAAAAGAAAAAGCAGTCATATTGGCCTCATTGCTCGTTGGTGGTGTCATCGTTGGTTGGTTGCCATGGTTTTGGCGGATAAAAGATTTTCTCTCGTTTGACCTTGATGTTGACATTGAGTGGCGATTTTGAAAGCACAAGAAATGAACGCTGAATACGATGAGGGCGCGTATTTCATGAGCAGTTATACTTCCATTATGGCGAGTAGTTTCAAAGCGAACTTTTTCCTTTTTTAACTCGAAAATTTATTGGCGGAATAGCTTCGTGGATATCAGCGCACATGAAGACCGCGTCATGAGAAGATGCTCGTAAGGTTATCATTAGCATTTCATTCTGGATAGTTATGGTATGAGACAATCGGAAACTGAGGCTCCTTTACTGGACCTGATAGTGACCGCCTCAGGACGCTAACTTTAGGTGGAATCCAGGTATCCGAAGGCGGCTCTGATCTGACTCGCTATCTGTTGAAAAGGCTTATCAAAGCAAAGACTGAGTGAATCTGGCAAATCCGGCCGATGCATTCTAATTTTAAAGGGAGCGTGCACGTTTAAATGGGATTTTGAGCTGAAACAGCCATCTTGAAGACCTTTCGGTGTTGTTCACAATCCGCCGTTCTTAAGGCCTTGCCCCTCTAGTTTCCGAGCTATACGCCCGCGAAAATGGGATAGGTATATTGAGAAAGGTACTTTCAGTCATCTTGTGATTCCTGACGTCACAATAACGTCATCCCAAATCCTGCCATTCACAAGCCTCGCGGCGATCAACGGCCAAGAAATATAATTGTCCAGGCGTTCATATCTGGTGTTCGTGAGCGCGATTTTCAGATATAACGGCCTTCAGTTGGCTCTCAATCAATGCAATCGATGTTGTGCGAGGGTACATTCGCGTAATGAACCATGATGTCTTGAGGAGTATTACTCCAACAGGAAATTGAAATGCCTAGAGCAGTCCTTTCCACTTAAAAAGTGTACCAAGAGTTTTAGTGGGCCCTGGCCCAACATATCTTATGCTTCCTTAATGTCATCACTGTGAAACATTCCGTTCAAAGGTATGTTTGTTTGGGAATGCAAGGTACGATGACGTAATCAAGCCATGTGGGGCATATCAGGATTGGAGGATTTAAACTTGGGGACAGACCTGATTTTATCATGTTTTGCAAAATGCGAAAGCGTCTTTTCTGCTGGCAAGACTGAAGGTGACAACATCTATTGCGGAAAAATTAGAGGGAGCTTTACTCGCCCGGCCCACTCCCAGTGGTTACACTTATGGTTTCGGAACCAAAGAAGAGAATCTATCTACGTCAACAAAATGAGGCAGATGCGGGGACACGTGACGTATCATGGAGTAACGCGTTTATGGAGAAGAAGGGTGGGGCCACAACAGATCGGCAGGCAAGCTGCATGATACGCAGCGCAGTCACACAATCACACCCAATCAACCGAGGCACCGCACGAAACGATACAGCGACTCCTCAAGCTCGGAGGGCGGGTCAGACCAAACCGCAGGACTCATGTCAGAGCCGACCGAGCACAAGCTTTACTGCATTGAGCGGACTTTGATATACTGCAGTACTCGAACTTTCAGCGCTATGCTGTGTGGTATCGCTGCTTTGATTCATAAGGTTATGCAGGTGTGTTGATTTGTCTGGACGTGGCGCGTGGGCCGCAAGGTGCTTTGCTGCCAACACCGCACGGTCCATCCAACGTGCATGACAGTGTACAGTTTTGTCGCATGACTGCGCTTCCTCAGTAGGTGGTTGACTGCGCGGCATCTGATGACGTCACCGCTCCTGTGACGTCCGTGGCCGAGAGCTCAGCGAGCTGGCAGCGGGCCGATGTCCGGCGGAGACGTGACCGGACGCCGCTGGTGGTCCGCGCCTGCTCACACCTGGTCTGAACCCAAGTCGGTTTTCGTTAGAAGATGTGTGCTTCATATCGCTATAAGCAAAGGTAATAGGTATATATAATATATAATATATATATATATATATATATGTATATATATATACACGAAGCACATTTCTTCACTTGATACTAAGGGCAAAATAAATTTTGGTGGCGATGTGCAGTCGGCAACCTGCCGCGTTTGCATGCAATTTCCGTTATATCCACTCTAGCGGGCATCTTCCAGACGCTGTCAATGGATACAAAAGTAATGTGTTACCAGTATGTCGAGCTACCGCCTGTAACATGTGTTTTAATACACTGGAGTCAGAACATGTGATGGTTTCATGGCTCAGCCCAGACTGTGGAGAGTGATGAACATCTTAAGCGACTAGGAAGCATAGAAATGTAGCCGCGGCCGGCTTTCGGGAATTCAAGAATGGGGGAGGGAAAGGAAAGAGTTTGTGATATCGCTTACATAAGTCCTTTTGCGCTAATAGCGTTAGTCAGGAACCGGATTCGATATCAAATCTGAATTACGCGAAAACCAGGGCTAATAGGAGCGAAACCATTGTGATATTGTCAGGGCGTATGAAATGGCCGGTCATGTTGACTTAGAATGCGCTTCTGCTTCGCCATTGTATGCCTCGTCATTTCACGTTTGCGGTACTTTATGATTTGGTCCCATTAAATAAATTGGCAGGTGTAAGTTGAACAGCACATGATTAAGCAGCAGAGGCGCTTTTGTACCAAGCCATACGGACTGCCTCGGGGCTAGAAACTATGAGTTTTCGATTCTGCTTATGCTAGGTCTCGTTCATTTCAAATTATTAGCCCATTTCCGGTTGGATTATTAGGCAAAACTTACATTGAAATCCAATTTGAATACTAAATCTAAAATGTACGAAAACAGGAAAGAAGCCCGTTGTCTTTCGCCGGGTCGATCAGAGAAGCCTGCAGATTATGCTGTGAAAGCGTCTTTGTTTCTTGTCCTGATGTGCCTATCCGTCTTGCGTTCACGAATTTAGTTCGATGAGATCAATTTATAAAATGCGAGGGAGAACGCGAAGTGACAAATAAGTTAACTATGAAGCAAAACGCCCCCGAAGTAAAAATGCATCAGCTACTTAGAAGACCTTACGAGATTCCATTGGGTTACTCCCCTTTATGTTGGCTTTTGGGTATTTAAAATTTAGCATCAAATGGTTCTTGGTCCTTGTCGAGTACTGGTAGGAGGAAAGGAGACGATA